AGCACAAGGGCAGGCGCTGACCTCCAACAAAAAGAAGAAGTAATTTTATCGGAATACAAGAGGTTTTTCTTTTCGAAATCCGAATAGAAAGGGTACAGATTGTATTCGAATACAACGTGTAGGACCTGCACCGTTTCAATTTCGAAAAAGGACTACCTGCACCGTTTCAATTTCGAAAAAGGACTGCGGCCTCCTCGGCCTCCCAACGACCACCGGCGTTGAAATTGACGTTGAACGTTGAATGTCTCAGGGGGGGAAAACGCATCCCTGACGGGCTGCGAACACTCGAAACCAGAACTCGACCTCCTCAAGTGGGGCACGGCCCCAGGGGTACCCCCTGGGTATGGCACACTGTTCCCCCGCTGGTACAGGGGCACCAGCGCAAAGGGAACTGGGCCGGGGGACGCCGCCAGCATGCAAATTGCAACGCTGTTGCACAGGGGCCTGCGCGCAGTTTGTCCATGCGACACGGACAGGCTACAAATAACCAGTCTCTCGTGGGCGAGTGACTCTGGTGGGCGGGTCACAAACAGAATAACGAGAGGATCTATAGGGGTACCAGGCAAATTTCAGCAATCGAAAAGGAGGATAGCAAAAGGGAAAAGACGAACTGAAAAGAAGGACGAAGGCCAGAGATAACCAGCAATTTCACATTGAGAGGCCAAAACTAGCCCAGGCGCGCACGGTGCTCTCCGCGGACGGCAGGGTGTGTTCTGCCCGGGTTAATTTTGGTATTTCCAGAACTGCGCGGGCTGGTTGTGTACTTCTTCAAGCACAGAAGAGACTCGACAACAGACGATCCAGAAGAAGTGCGCTGACCTGGCTGGATTATCGGCTTCTGTCCATTGATTTCCGCACAATCTACGTTCAAAAATGAAGAATCCGAGTAAGTGATACCCAGTCCGAGAATGTGCTGAGTTTGCGCCCGTGATGCGTCCTGCTCGTGCGTTGCGCCCGAGATGCGCCCTGCGCGTGAGTTGCGCCCGAGATGCGCCCTGCGCGTGAGTTGCGCCCGAGATGCGCCCTGCGCGTACATGTGCGCGTCGCCATGGCTTTGCTGTTTTGAGCACACACGCATATGGGACGGTTTTCGATGTTTCATCGAACGTCCAATTCGTGAAAAAAAAGAGTTCACGTCCCTGTCGTAAATCCGGTAAAAATAGGAAAACAAGAAAAAAAGAAAACAAGAAAAATAGAAAACAAGAAAAAAAGAAAACAAGACTGCTGCCTGCAACATTACCTAGAAGAAGTAAATGTGGTTGAAAGAGGAAAACAAGAGTGAGAGAGAAGTCAGTTTTCATGGTCCGAAAAAGAAAAGAAAGGCAAAATCAAGAGGGAGCGCGTGTAAAGTGCGTGTGTGTGTGATGTGTGCGGCCGGGTGTGCGTGTGGGGTGTGTCTGTGTGTGTGCGGGGCCCTGTTGCGTGAACACTACCATTACTCCACTAGAATTGGCTTATGCCCGTATGGGCTCAAGTCTCTGTGAGCCACGACATTCCACTTGCACGATACTATCTATGTCATCCCAGCCGTTGTTGCAAAGAATCTGCGGCCATAGTCTGTCGGAACTCAGAACTGCAACGTGTCCTCAGACATACACACACACACACACACACACACAGACAGAGAGAGAGAGAGAGA